CGATTGGAGGGCGCCGAAGGCGCCCTCCAATCGCAAATGCAATTGTGATATAATCGAATCGAAAAACAATCGCGACTGGAGGGCGCCCTCCAATCGCGAATGTGTTTACAGGGAAAATACGGATGGAGGGCGCCCTCGGAGGACGCCCATTCCAAATACGCCCTCCAAATACGGTTGGAGGGCTCCCTCGGGCGCCCTCCAACCACATTTGTAGGCTGTAGCTCTCTAAGCGTAACGGTGGTCGCCTATGTAAGCCGCTGTCCTGTAAATAAGCGCCCTCTCACCCGAAGGCGCCCTCCTGTAGGTCGCCACCCTGCTACACATTGCCGCCCTTCTGCTGATCGGCGTCCTCATAATTATTGGCGCTCTCCTACCTATTGAGCCCTCATGTGAAATTTTGAAGGCCGCCTTTCTCCCTTTTGGCACCCTCTTGTTCAGTGCCGCCCTCCTACCTATTGGTTCCCTAGTCCTTCCTGTTGAATGTTAATCGGGGCCCTTCTCCTATTGGCGCCCTCGTGTAGATCGCCGCCCTCCTAACCACTGGCACCCTCCTGTTGATCACCGCCCTCCTATCCACTGGCACCTTCCTGTTGACCAGCGCCCTCCGCACAGACGCCCTCCTGTTCGTGTCATCCTCTTGAGCAAAGGCGCCCTCCTCACCATTGCCACCCCCATTTTAATCGTCACCCTTCCGCTCATTGGCGACTTCCAGTTGATGACCGCCCTCCCACCTATTGGCGACCTCTTGTTGATCGCCACCCTCCTATTGGTGCTCTCCTGTTCCTCGCCACCCTCTTACCTGGTGGCGCCCTCCTGTTGATTGTTGATCGGCGCCCTCCTACCTATTGGTGCCCTCCTGTTGATCGCTGCCCTTCTATCCATTGGCGCCCTCCTGCTGCTCGCCAACTTCCTACCTATCGGTGCCCTACTGTCGAAACTCGGGATGTTGATCGGGGCTCTTCTACCTATTAGTGCCCTCCTGTGGATCGCAGCCCTTCTACCTATTGGCAACATCCGTTGATCGCTGCCCTCCTATCATTTATTTACTCCTTTGGCATGTTTTTCAACTTAGTCGTTCTATTGCACATAGTTGATGTCTTGCCTGTGAAAACTGCCACAAATGAACGTGCATTCAGCACAATGAATGAAGTATCTATACCTACCAAAACTATCTACGCTCTACGATGCATAAAACACGTCTTTGGTCTTAACGGATTGATCCTACTTTACGTGCATCATGGCATCTATATGGATTACGATTAAGTATTGTCAACAGGTTCGGGCGCAACAGCAGGCATCTGAAGTTTCGGTGATTGAAACTGGTTATGTGGGTACACTGTATGCATCTGTGAGAAGGCTATGAAGGCTGGTCTGAGGTAATTTGGATGATGTTTACGCATCTCGCGCTCCGGTATCAATCCGATACGGTGATCTGGTGCGTAGATATGCCACCGCCAATAAACTTTTATACATCGACACCCATGAGCCAAGCTTTCTGTACAGTTTGTGTGGCAGCGGCCCGACCAAACCTTAGGTATTTTTTACACCTTCAAATTTGGTAAAAGAGCGAGAGGAGCTTTGAACAGTGATCGTATAAAAGGCGTGCCTAAAAAGCGGAGGAAAAGGTTGTTTTCAAAAATTTCGCGCGCCTTCGGCGCAGCATTTCAAGAACACTTGACCTTTTGTGACCTGGAGTATAAAGAATACACACGATGCAAAATCAATGCAGCACGACCTATACGAGGTTACGCAAAAAAAAAACTGGTGGCATGGTAAAAAACGCCCCCCAACCCCCCAACCCCCCACTGAGCGATTTTTTATCTCGCGACCGTATGGCGCCCTCCTTGGGTGAGGTGGCGCCCTCCAAACCCTTGGCCCCCCCTTCGCGATTTTCTAAATACGCCGCTGCTGACGCTGGTGGACTGCGGGCCGTCGAGGTACGCCATATGGCGACGGCTTCGCCGGGCAGGAGCTCTGGAGATTGTGAGTGAGCTGGAGAACGTGTTTCTAGAGCGTGGAGCCCCGGCGGAAATACTCACGGACAATGCGACAGAGTTCCGTGGCCGGGTCATGTTAGCGTTCGCGGCTCGCTGGGACGTATCCATCCGGTTCCGCGCTGCCTACGAGCCCGGCGGGAACGGCATCGTCGAGCGCCATCATCGTACCATCAAAGTGATGGTGGCCCGGCAGTCCTGCTCCGTTGCTGAAGCAGTCCATCGATACAACGTGACACCGAAGGATGGCAGTGACCCGGCCACAGCTCCAATCAACGGGGTGCTTCGACACCCTGGCCGAGACGTTGACGTGACGCCCCGCAGAACCTCAGACGAGCCTGGTGACGCCCTGCCGCTGAAGAAACCCGGTGTATACCAGGTAGGGGACAAGGTGTGGGTTCGGCGGCGGGGCGACCGATGTTTTGTAAAGTCAGACGAGGGTATTGTGACAGGCGTCGTTTCGGCCCAGACAATCGAAGTCGATAATGTCCCACGACATGTGCGAAACCTCCGACATCGGTTGACCGTCCCTGAATGTCCGAGGCCAGGGGCTCTGCGAGCGCCAACGGTGGAGTGGTCTGATGACAGCGAGTGTGATGGCGTGTGTGTGTCGCCAGCTCCGAGTGATGTGACGGAGTCGGACACGCGGCCGCCCAGCGTCGCTCAGTCCCCGGACCCCGATCCACCGACCGGGTCCGATGTGTCCGCAGACGAGAGTGAAACGTTCGTGCCTGCGACGCTGCGGCGTGGTACGCGTGTTCGAAGAGAGCCGAAAAGATATGGCGATGGTGTGCCAGAGGATGTAGTTGATGCGTTGATTGAATGACATGTAACATGTAGAGTAATGTGGTTCTTCAGAACCAGGGGGTGATGTAGCGTGACGCAAGGATGAATGTGAGCCGTATAAGTGTGAGTCAGCTTCAGCGTCGAGCTGTGAACCGGTGACCCAGCGTTGGTCATAGCCGCCGGCATCTGATGCCGGCAGGGCCGAGTTACACCCTGCAAGTAGCTGGGCCGGGCATGACGTATGGGAGCATGATTGGCTGGTTATGATGTGAGATATATGACGTATGACAGCGCGATTGGTTGGTGATGATGTGAGATGTGTGTCTGCGAGCTGTGGATGTGCCAGGAGGGGGATTGTGAGTTTAGTTGGCTGGAAGGTGTAGAGGAGAGCAGAATAGATCTTCTTCTTGTGCTGGACGGTGACTTTTAAGTCAGTACGACAAAAATGATCACTTTTTGAGTTATGCAGAAAAACGGCAAATGAACGCCGCATTACTCCGCTAACGTACTATTATCACCGGTATGCGCCGGTCTGCCCAAGTACTTACCTTGTTTCGATGTGATGTTTGCGGCCTGTTGCCGATCGGCTGCTGACTGGTCAGCTGCGACTCCGGCTGGTGCTGTAGCCGCGGGACCGGCTGCCGGTCCGAGCCCACCGGTGACTGCTGCCGGTTCGAGCTCCCGCCGGTGACTGCTGCTGGTCCGTGCTGCTGGTCCGTGCTGCTGGTCTGAGCTGCTGGTCCGAGGTGCCGGTCCGAGGTGCCGCTCTGGGCTGCTGGTCCGTGCTGCTGGTCCGAGCTGTCAGTCCGAGGTGCCGGTCCGAGGTGCCGACGGTGACTGCTGCCGGTGCGGCGCCGACACGGTGTGGTCGTGCCGCCGCCCCCGCCCCCGTCCCCGCCCCCTCCCCGCCGGCCAAGGGTCGCCCGCTGACGGCCGCCCGCCCGACTATGCTCTCCGGCGCAGTCACGTCCGCGCCGCTCAGAGACAGACTCATCACCGAGCACCGAGATCGGGTGACGTCACGGCACTGCCGACATTGCGCCGTTGGGAGAGCAATGCGGCGAAACCATGATTTGAGCTAGAAACATTTCGGATTTCCTATTTCGATTCGCGAATTTTGGACAAATGCGTGCCATTGGGGTATGCGGAGCGTGAGTTGGAACTGGTACCCTTTGCTCGAAGAGAGCCGGAGCTGTAACAAAATTTTATGGGTAGACAGAGCCGCAGGTCGAATCGGTCAAAGTTCGGATGGCTTTTGCACTGAATGAATGCATAACTAAAATAATCCATGATTTTTTTCCATTTAATAACTGTGTGAAGTCAACTGTCAACCCGTTGACATCTTTCGTGAACATGAGTCATGTAAGGACGTTCTGTATTCCGTGTACTGTGTAGTGTGCGCTGTGTGGGTAGAGGTACTTATCGGTGACGCGCATACTAACGTTTTAGTTGCATTCACCTCGAGACACGCAGCCTCATCTCGGCTATCTCGGTTCATCTCGGCTCATCGATTGGCGCGATTTCTTTGCATGGTATCTTTTTTATTTTACTTGTAGCGCAAGTAGCCCATGAAGCCCCATACAAATTTACATTGATGTATGGAAGAAACCACATTTTCGCTTCCGCTCATGCTTGGGATTCCCTCAGTCCGGCGAACTCCGACACACAGCCACAAAACATGTATCGGTGTTCCCCTCTCAGAGCCACAATACATGTATCGGTGTTTCCCTCTCTCAGATAAGGTATCTGGTATTGTATACAGACATCATGTAGCTTGTCCTCCTTCCTGAAAGACTGTTGGGCGTGCTAGCTTGTTGTTGCAGGAATGGTACTTTATTTCCTCCAGCGGCCGAGGCCCAACTCCCAAGGTTCTGATCCCCTGTGCGTTTCATTTACATCACAGCTTGCTCATTGCACAACTGCTAAGGATTGTGGTTCCTATTGGCCCCACTAGTGAGGCCTCGATGATTGATCATTCATGACGCTTCTTAGCCAGCTTATTTTGATTTATCCTGTGCCCACTGCCCATGACATTTTCTGCCATTTCAGTTTTTTTTTTTTTTACTTTTCTGACCAGCTTAGAAGCCGAGTGATATTGGAGTTGGACGAGGTTCCCACATGCGGCTGGCGTGGGTTGACTTCCTCTGTTGTGTAGTCAGGAAGCGTCAGGTTTTTGGATATCACACGCTCTCACTCGCCTCTCCGTACCCATTGTTTCAGGACCACGTGGCAGCGGCGTTCGGCTCGGGCGTGCCCTCAGCCTGTGTGGTGGACGTCGGAGACCAGAAGACGTCCGTCTCCTGCGTGGAGGACGGCATGTCCATACGGGAGACGCGGGTCAGTGGACGGACGGCATGTCCATACGAGAGACGCGGGTCAGTGGACGGACGGCATGTCCATACGAGAGACGCGGTTCAGTAGAGGACGGCATGTCCATACGAGAGACGCGGGTCAGTGGAGGACGGCATGTCCATACGAGAGACGCGGGTCAGTGGACGGACGGCATGTCTATACGAGAGACGCGGGTCAGTGGACGGACGGCATGTCCATACGAGAGACGCGGGTCAGTGGACGGACGGCATGTCCATACGAGAGACGCGGGTCAGTGGACGGACGGCATGTCTATACGAGAGACGCGGGTCAGTGGACGGACGGCATGTCCATACGAGAGACGCGGGTCAGTGGACGGACGGCATGTCCATACGAGAGACGCGGGTCAGTGGAGGCCGGAGGGGCGGGGCGGGACAGCAGAGGAGCGTGGCGGGTTAGATGAGGACGGGATGGGTCAGTAGAAGACATGTCCTTTGATGGATGCGTGTCATTTGGAAGTGCGAATCAGTTGCGGCGGGGAGAACTGGGAATTTATTAGGAAAAAAGCTGCTATAATACTCGACGGCTTACCCCTGTCTGATAGTCTCCTCCTTACTAGGTGCTGTAACCGCTCCTTGGGGACAGATGAAATTATCCAGTCGTCACATGGGACAAAATCACTTTTTGATTCTTTGCATGAGTGTAAGATTCTTCAAGCCCTCTTAATGCCAGTCGTAAGTATGCTTCCTCGATGGCAGTTTATAATGACCTTTCGCCCCAAATGACGCAACGCATATCGTGCCATTGGCCAACTTTGGTTGCGCGGTTTGAGGCACGACATTTTAGGTTGTGTAACACATGGAGCATATGTGCCAGATTTTGTTTATGTTCAGATCCAATATAGTGCAATGACTTTCACGTCTTCCTTAGTCGGTATCGCGTATTTCGTACGTTTTTTTGTGGTTCTCTGAATCAGCATGCGTTGCTTTTCTTACTGTTGTTTGCATTTTAGTACGTTTCCTAAAAGGTCCGGTATTTCTATGCTGCGGGCCCTCATTAGCTCTATCGGCTGTTTTCTTTCTGTGGCTCTGTGTGTCCTCTCTGTGTTTTGAGTCTGCGTGTTTTGGTCCGTCTTCTGTGGCCCGCGGCGTTCGGCCTCAATCCACGCCCTAAAACCATGGCAGCGCGGCCAAAGGTCGACACAAACTTCCGTCGGCAGCGCTGGTCGTCTGGAACCCATCAGGAACGGAATCGGCCCGCTTAGGGGTGGACACGCTTCTGGGAAACGCGCCCAAATTACGCCGCCGTTTTGGGGACTGGTCTCCAAATACGCAACTCTTTTTCACGTTTTTATGACAGCTGTCCAGTGTAGTAAAATGATGCTCCTAACTAATGTGCTGCTGTTTTTATGTGTTTCCTCGTAAGTGCATGTGGTGACTTAACCCTCGCCGGACCTATTGGTTTTCTACATACGCGCCGGCCGAGGGGGGGGGCGGGTACGACCCCCCCCCTCGCCGTTTCGCCCCTGGTGGAGCTAGCGCGTCGCGGAAAAAACGAGCGTGTGCGCCGTTACGAGACGCAGAGATTGGTACCCGATTTTAAGGTCCTAGGTCCCCGCAGGGGGCTGACCGTGGTCAGAGCTGCTGCTTAGCCGAGGTCATCTGGCCCCGGCTTTGCGGCGGCTGTGACTTCGGCCAGTAAGGGGAGTAGCGCCCCCTCGGCCCCAGCTTGACGCGCGTTTGACCTGGACTTGCTTTGGTTGCCGGATGGATTGCCTGCTGGATTGGCCCCGCAGGGGGTTGGCAGTGGCCTGGGTCGCTGTTGGACTGGGCTCCTTGTGCCCTCGCCCCGCGGCGGCCCTGGCCTCGGCCAGCAAGGGGAGTAGCGCCCCCTCGGCCCCAGCTTGACCCATGCTTGCTTACGATTTGCTTTTGATCACTGGATGGACAGATGGTACGGCCCGACTTTTCTTGGTTTCCGTGGTTTTGTTTCTCTTGAGCGGTCTTTGTTTGCTTTTGCTTTGCTTCTCACCGGGTGTCCGCGTTTCGTTCGATCACAGCTTTCTGATTCCTTTCCCCCTTTTTTTCGTTGTTTTTTGCACCCGCAGGAACACAGCCGAGTTGGGCTAGTGTAAGGGGAGTGGCGTCCCCTCGGGTACCAGCCGGTTTTACTAGGCTAGGCGAGCCGACCCGTACCCCAGGACAACGGGATCCTGGAGGTTGAGCCCCCCACCGTGCGGAGCCAGTCGCGGTGGCTGGGCAACACGCCTCTTTGGCCCTGAGTTCTGTAAGGGCGGGACACTCAGTGGGGCGCCGCACTTGAGGAGCCATTCCCAGTCGTGATGCCGCCGGGGGTGGTGTCGGAGAGGTGTCGCCGGCGGGGTTCGGGCACTTGTGCTCGTCCTCCGTCGGTGGGACTGATCTGTCGCTGCCCCTGGCGGTGACTCGGCGAGGCGTCAAGGGAGGAGGCGGTATCCGACCGTGGGGGGTGGTGAGTCTCTCTCTCCCCCTCGGAAGGTGCCGCCAAGTCCCGTACAGTCAGCTCGGCCGTCCCAGGCCTTGTAGCGGCGCCGTTGCGGAGCGTCGGCGGCCGAGCTGGCGGAGACCAAGCACACTTACATGGATGACCGGACCAACCCCCCTTCCCCTCAATCCAACCCCTCGGCTTCGGCCGATTCTCGCCCGTTGGCCTCGGCCGGCGGGCGAACGTCGCACGAGAAGGTTCCTCGAAACCCAAAGATCCTTATCCTCAGGAGCAGTGACAAACAGCTGGGTGCGCTGTCCCCTTTCCAACGGAAGGACGGCTGCGACCGCCTCGGCAAGATCCTCCGCTGCGATCGGATGCGCGATGGGGCTTTGGAAGTCGAATTCGAGAAAAGTGAGGAGGCTGCAAAAGCCTTAAGCGCCACCCGATTTGTGTATACCGAGGGACGGGCCTCCGGCAGGAAACTGGTCTCTGTCTCTCTCTCAGTTGAGCCGCACAGGTCAAAGAACTCGAGCAGAGGGGTCATCAACTGCTTTGACCTCAGAGACATGAGCAATGACGACATCGCAGACGGCCTCGCCGACTTTGGCGTCACAGCAGCACACCGCATCTTGGCGAGGAGAGGCACGGTCCCCACGAATAACATTATCTTAACCTTTGACTCCACCGACATGCCGAGCGAGGTTCGCGTGGGGTACGTGAGGGTTCGTGTGCGCCCTTACGTCCCGGCTCCCATGCGTTGTTTCCGCTGTCAACGTTTTGGTCATACGAAGGACAACTGCCGAGGCAAACCCGTGTTTTTTGTGGTCAGTCAGGTATCTGTGTGCGCCTTTGCCTCATGTTATACGCGCCCTTATTGCGCCCTTTTAACCACGCCTTTTATTCTACAGTGGAACTGTAGAGGCCTCCGGGCCAACTACCAGGACCTACAGTCTCTTATCCGTTGGCGCACACCCCTTGTTTTAGGTCTCCAGGAGACCAAGCTAGCGCCAAACGTTACCTTTGCCATCAAGGGTTACTCTGTTTTTAGAAGAGACTTAGACACCCTGACCATTGCCCATGGAGGTGTACTTTTGGCAGTGCACCACAGTGTGCCTGCGCGCCACATTTCGCTGCAGACTCCTCTGCAGGCAGTGGCCGCTAGAGTTGATTTCAACCACCGGGAGCTGACAGTCTGTTCTTTATACCTTCCACCAGGTATAGCGCTCCCGGTGGTTGAGCTACATCGACTTGTCGATGAGCTTCCACCTCCAGTCCTGGTAGTCGGTGATTTTAACGCCCATAGCTTGGCGTGGGGTTGCGACACGACTGGCACTCGTGGTCGGCTTTTAGAATCTTTTATCCGCGATGAGGCGCTGTGTATTTTAAATACAGGACAGCGCACTCATTTTACAACGCCCTCCGGTCAAACATCGGCTCTGGACCTGAGCTTAGTCAGTCCTCGGCTAGCTCAGCTTTTTACCTGGTCCGTCCATGACGACCCACTCGGGAGCGACCATTTCCCAGTGTGGTTGGAGTACCAGGAGTCCCCAGTGTCAGGCAACCGCCCACCTAGGTGGAATGCTCGGAAGGCCGACTGGGGCGAATTCCAGGCCGCCGTAGAGGCCTCGATTTTATCCAGAGCTGACACTTCTGTGATGTCCACAGATGATTTTACATCTCTACTCATTGACTCCGCAAACGGGTGCATACCCAAGACGTCGAGCCAGCCTCGTCGTCCTCCTGTTCCGTGGTGGACCAAGGAATGCGGAGACGCGATTCGTGCCAGGAAACGCGCTTTTAGAAAGTTTGACCGGAGTGACACCACTGAGAACCTCATCGCTTTTAAGAAAGCGCGGGCTTTTGCCCGACGCGTTTTAAAAGAGGCAAAGGCTGTTTCATGGCGCACTTATGTGAGTTCCTTAAACCGTTTTACCCCTACGACCCAGATATGGGCACGCATGAGGCGCATTGAAGGCCGGTTCAGCTCCGTTCCGCTCCCGGTTTTAAGAGTGAATGACACGGATATATCTCACCCTTTAGACGTCGCCGAGACGATAGGCCGTGCACTCTATCAGCGCTGCCGAGGAGGGTCTTCCTCCCGAACTGCACCAGCCGCCGTGGACTTCAGCACAGCTGAAAGTTTGATGTACAACGAGCCTTTCTCTATGGCTGAGCTCACGTCTGCCATCAGCTCGTTGCGCAGCGTCTCAGAAGGTCCGGATGCTTTCCACAACGACATGCTCCGTCATCTCCCAGCAGTTGCCCTCGAGGCGCTGCTAGCAACCTTCAATTCGCTTTGGGAGACTGGCACTTTCCCTGAGACCTGGCGGGAAGCCATTATCATTCCTATCTTGAAGGCTGGCAAGTCGGGACATGACCCTCTCCATTATCGGCCCATCTCTCTCACATCATCACTATCAAAGCTGATGGAGAAGATGGTCAATGTGCGTCTTAGCTGGTTTCTGGAACATCACGGTGTTTTTACAAACGCCCAGTGCGGTTTTAGAAAGCACCGCAGCCCTGTTGACCACATTTTAGCCCTTGACACCGAGATACGCACC